CCTCATGATTTAGAATATGGAATTTAATATCAAAATTGAATAGCATTTTGATAACACAATTACTAAAACATCTTTCATTTTTCCAGAAACTAGACTTGCTTCATGTGGAATATATGCCTAAATAGCCTTCGAATACAAGTTTCTATCTTAATGTCAAGAACAATGTTTTAAAGCTTGAAGATGCAATAGGAGTGTTTATTCTTCACATCACTGAACCACTAACATCACCTTTGCATTCCTTCTATTATTTATAAAGTCATGTGATTATAACTGAAAGAGATCATAGAAGTAAATGTAATCTAAAGCTTTCTTTTGGGGAAAAAAAAATACCTAGAGAGGTGAACAACAGCCTCTGCCTGCCGGTTCATGCCAAGTCAGGGCGAGATGAACAATAACTCCTAAGACATTTCTAGTAAGATAACTCCGTAAGCAAGAGAAGAGCAAGGGACCACAGAGTTGCAGTTCTTCTCCACAATATCCCAGCTCTACTGTGGATTGAGGGAGACCTAATCCAAACCTGATTCCAGACATTCAAGCAGCTAGGAGGAAATTTGGATCCAGGGGCCAGAAGCAATAATAACCATCATGACAAACATCATCGATCACTAGTATGTGCCAGGCAGGCACAGTTCTAAGCACTTGACATGGGACAGCTTATATAATCATCACAGCAATTCTGTGTAACGGACAAAATTGCTAGCATACTTGAGGAAACTAAGGCACAAAGAGATTGAGTCACTTACCTCAAAGAGGTAAGGTCACTTGGTCAGGTTCAAATCCATGCACTGTGGATCCTGAGCTCATGCTCTTACCCCATTATGAGAAAACATAACAAGCCCCCAAATTGGTCCAACCCCAGTCAGGATATATGGGGGAAGCAACCAATTAGTTCTCTCTCTTTGTCTCTCCCCCTCCCTTCCACTTTCTCTAAAAATCCATGGGGAAAAAATCTATATAATAAAAGCCTAATATGATAAATGTCCGGTCGTCAGGTTGTCCAAATAATCAAAGCGCAATATGCTAATGATATGCTAAGGTCACTCAACCGCACACTATGACCTGCACTTGACCACCAGGGGGTGCACCAGTCGCTATGACCTGCACAGACCACCAGGGAGCAGACGGTCCAACTGGTAGGTTAGCTTGCTACTGGGGTCCAGCCAATCAAGACTGAGCATGACAGGCCTGACATGCCCTGGAGCCATCCCGTAGTCCCTCCCCAGCTAACCAACCTCCCTTGTCCCTCCCCAGCCCCAATTGATTGTGCACTGGTGGGTTCCCTCTGACTGGCCTGTGCCCTACTGCAATCTAGGGCCGCTCAGGGGATGTTGGAGAGCCAGTTTTGGCCTGATCCCACAGACCAGCAGGAGGGACCCCACTGGAGCATGAATTCCTGCACCAGGCCTCTAGTAAGGAAATAAAAATAATATACAAAACTCACAGCCTACTAAACTGGGTATTATTTTTTGAAAGCTATTATCTTGATCTTAGAATCAAGTGAATATTAATACATGCATTCCTGTAAAATTTATTAGTTGCCCCTTTTACTCACATAATTGTTAAAATGACAGTATTTTTCAGTTTCTTAGTAGTCCATTAATAAAATGTTAATAAGTGTGCACTTCATAATTTGCATATTTATAAACCAGCTGTTGTTATTTACAAACTGTTGATGAATGAAACTGTAGTACCAATAATAACTAATTGTTGAGATGAATGAACTAGAGCAAGCACTTACTTTGCAAGTGCTTTCAGAATTGAGCAGACCACTCAATAAAAACATATTTACCCAAGGAGGGTGATACTATTCTTTCTCCTCTCCCAAAGCTCTTTGGCAGCTGCCTTAGAAGGTGTTGACGGAATCACATTCCAAGTGTGATACACTTTCATTCCAAAATATTGTTCATTTTAGCCTCAATTTCTCCACCAACAAGCTACAGATAATAACCCTTGTATAACAGATGTCTGGCAGAAAAATTATGGGCTGTTTGACAAATAATTACTAGATCCTACACACTAGTTCCAGGTACTTTTCACTACAATAATCATCACAATCTCACCATGAGACAAGTAGAATATTATAAATGAAGGAACTAGAGCAACAAAAATTTAACAATTAGTAGAAAACAGCAACCCTTTTTTAATATAAAGTTGAATTTTTTAAATGTGTAAGGTTTTTTATTTTTTAAGAGAGAGAGGAACAGAGAGAGAAACATAGATGTGAAGGAGAAACATCCATCAATTGCCTCCCACATGCATCTACTGAGGATCCAACCTGCAGCCTAGGTATGTGCCTTAACAGAATTGAACCCATGATCAGCACCGGACAAAACTCCAACCAACCCAAGCCATGCCAACCAAAATGTTTTATTATTCAAGTAAGCTTAGTTTTGTTTGAAAATAACATGTGCTTTATTCCTGAAAATTAAAAGGATAGTTGATACTGGAAATTTCTGAAAAAGAGCAATCCCTATTGATTGATCCCTAAAGATACTATACTCAAATATAAATATTCAAATCAGCAGGTGGCCCAAATCTATTTATGCATCATAATTATTTCCATGATAGAAACAAAATAAAGCAACAACCTAAACACCAAAGAAAACAACACCCACAGAAACTGCTAAAAGCGTATGAAACATTTAATCTCTTTTACATAAATATATATTTTCATAATTTTTTCTAAGTCTAACTGTCTCTAACACCATGCATTATATTCTCACCTCAGGGTTCACTAACACATGATAAGAAAGTGCCATAAAAAATTACTTAAATGCTCTATTGTAAAAATCATTTTAATAAAAACAAAGATATTAAATTGAATAATTAATAACTATTACATAATTAAATTATCATCTACAATAAGTTCACATTTTCTTGCTAAGCTATTTTTATCTCAAAAAACAAATTTCAAATGTTAAAACAGAAACTTAAAAAGCATTAAGAATTACAAATATGCCATCTGATTCTTCTTTAAGTGAAGAGGTATTAAAAAAGAAAGGAGAAAGACTGAGAGAAAGGAAGTTGAGAAAAGCCTTAACTGAATAAATAAAGTAATAATATATCAAGTGGTATATAAACTAAAATATATATAGGATGGTTGCAATTTCAATAAGAGCAACATACATTTGATTTACAGAGCTGCATTAAAGTTGGATCAATGGAACTCACTAAGTAGAGTTTATTGACACTATGGGGGGGGAGGGGGGGAGATTGTTTCTATCCTGAGGTTCCAAAATGGAAGCATAAATCCTGGAGGTACTAGAGGCTACCTTGCCAATAGGCTAATGAAGCCAGGCTAAGGATACTCTCAAAGGAAAGCAGGAGAGGAAGATTCCTACCAACATATTTGACCTCTTAGATTCAACAGGACCTGAAGCGGACAGCCCTGAGACTTTCACTGATGGGAGCCAGTAAAGCCCTTTGACACTTGTACATGGAAGTGTGCCAACTAATACAATTCAAACGTGAAATTTATTCCACAGGTAATTAGAAAATGGAAACAGCCGAAACCGGTTTGGCTTGGTGGATAGAGCGCCGGCCTGCGGACTGGGGGGTCCCGGGTTTGATTCCAGTCAAGGGCATGTGCCTTGGTTGCGGGCACATCCCCAGTGGGGGACGTGCAGGGGGCAGCTGGTCGATGACTCTCTCTCATCGATGTTTCTAGCTCTCTATCTCTCTCCCTTCCTCTCTGTAAAAAATCAATAAAATATATTTTTTAAATGAAAATAAAAAATAATAGAAAATGGAAACAGATTGTTTGTGTTGTAGTGGCTCCAAAGATGTCCGTGTTCCAATCCCTGAAACTTGTGAACATTTCACCTTCCCTGGTAAAAGACATTTTGTAGATGAGATTCAAGTAAGGATTCTGAGCTGAGGCAATGATCAGGGTAGGACCAAGGCAATCACAGGGAGAAGCAGGAGGAGTCAAAGTCAGAAAGAGAGAAAGCCAGTTGCAGAGACTGGAAGAGATTAGAGGAATAAGCATTGAAGGTGGAGGAAAGGGCCCTGAGCCAAGGAACATGGGTGGCCTCTAGAAAATGGAACAAATGCTCTCCCTCAGCTTCCTGAAGGAATCAGCCATGCCGACATCTTGACTTTAGCTCAGTGAAACCGATTCCAGACTTCTGGCTTCATAACTGTAAGAGAATACATTTGTGTTATTCTATTAATTTTTAATCATTGATCTTAGAGAGAGAGGAAGAAGGAGGGAGGAAGGGAAGAAAAAAAAGGGAGGGATGGAGAAACATCAATTTATTATTCTACTTATCATTGGTTAATTCTTGTATGTGGCCTGACCTGGGATGGAACTGCAACCTTGGCATATCTGGACAATACTCTAACCAACTGAGCTACCTGGCCAGGGCCATTTGTATTATTTTGAACCATCAAGTTTCTCATAATTTGTTATAGCAGCCATTGGAAACTAACACAGTAGTTTCATGGGAGTATTTGGGGTACTACCCAATATTCTGTACATAATTAAGAACATTATCCCTCTAAGAAAGCTAAAATTGGATTTTGGTGTGTTGAATAGAATAGTAAAATATCCAACCCTAAATTTTGATTCTCCATTAAGAGAAGCAAAGCCCATTAGAGAAATGTCTGATTCTGGGGATGAAGTTGGAGAAGTACAAGATGAGTCTGGAACATCTTTTTATGTGAGAAAATAATAATAATAATAAATTACACAGAATCCAGTATGAAGAAACATCCACTGACCAGACCAAGAACGATGTGAACATCAAAATAAATAAGACAATTATGGTACATTTTAATAATAATTTGTGAGCCCATATCAATAAGTAATAATTTGTAAGTCCATATTAATATAAATAAATAAGTAAATAGATGAATAAATAAGAACCTTTCACTAAAATGGCAATTATAAGTGCAGAAGGAAATCTTAAATTAGAAAAATTAATCTTGGCAAAAATTAATCTTTATCATAACACAATTCAGCCAAAATATAGCAATAGATACTAAAACTAATGAATGAAAGTTTGACAAAGAATGAGATTATTTACTTGGAACAACAGAGAAGATTAGTATGGCCCCTGTGTAAGGAAGACATGAAAATTCATGAAGCATTTCATTTTTTTTTAAAGATGCATGTACATATTTAGATATACTAGTAAAAAGAATTAACAAAATTATAAAAAGAAAATAAAAGAATATCATTAAGCTAGCCCTGAAGGCCAATCTGCCTCTGCACAGAAATTCTTCCCAAATACTTAATAATTATTAAGAGAACTGAGTATTTTACAGTAGAGAAACCTGAGAGATGCCACCATAATCAAGGATTCAGAATGATCATCACCAATAATGGAACAAATTAAAATCATAGGCTACCTGATGATATGCAATAATAGGGAACACACCATCACTTGTTTCTGTCAGATACCTACCACATACGCATAATCTAAAGTTAATTGTGAGGAAACCTCAGATATACCCAAATCCAGGGCTATTATACCAAGTAAATGGTCTAAGAAAGTCAAGGATGACTGAGATTCAAGGCTGAAAGAGATTAAAGAGAAACTAAATGCAACATATGATCGTTGGCTGGATTCTTTTTCTATAAAATATATTATTGGAACAACTGCCAAAATATGAAGGAGGTCGGGAACAAGCTAGAAGTAATGTAGCAATACTAGTTTCTTGGTTTTGATACTTAGATGGTATTTAGGTAGCAGCATGTCCTTGCTTTTGGCATCACACATAAGTATTGGAATGTATCAGGCATCACATCAGCAACTTACAAATGGCTCAAAGAAAAAAGCCAGTTGTACTATCCTTGCAAATTTTCCACAAGTTTAAAATTATTTCAAAGTAAAATAAAAAATATTTAATACTCTGGTTACTTCTTTTTGAAAAAATAAGCCCAGAAACTACAGTTAAATTTTTGTGGCCCTGCTGCCATAGTCAACACATGGACAGACAAGGTTGGTTATGTTGTCTTAATTATGCCTAGTCCTAACAACCAAACAAATCCCAAACATTAAGTATATAAGTAAAAGGCCTCGGCTTAGTGGCTCAGTTGGTTGGAGTGTCATCCAGTACACCAAAAAGTTGTGGGTTCAACTCTTGGTCAGGGCATTTACCTAGGCTGCAGGATCAGTCCTGGTGGGGGGCCCAAATGAGAAGGAGCATATCAATGTTTCTCCCTCCCTATTTCTCTCTTCCTCTCTCTAAAATTAATAAAAACATATCTTTGGGTGAGGATTAAAAAGTAAGTAAAAATAAAAGGTCACTTTATGGCATCGGAAGGTGCACTAGGCCAGAACTGTTTCCTCATTCAGACATCCGCTACTGATACGGATACAGTAACAAAGATTTCTAATCTTCTCACATTAAAAAACATGACCAATAGTTGTGTGTGAAGCATCCATTACTCTTTCCTCTTTTCTAACGCAATCCTACTTGTATTCAGGCATCGACTCCTCCCACTATTATTAATATTTTTTCATAGAAAATGATGGACCCTAGCACCAGTTAGGCCTCCTTATCAAAGAGTATTGCCATCCTCCATATTACAGATTGGTTCAGCTAATCCAATTAGTTTATGGTGGTCCTTTAGCCTCAAAATTTAGTTCAAAAATCAGCTTGTAACCTAATAAGGGTTAGTAAATCATGAAGCAAAAGCAAAATAGAGTCCCTCTCATTCTCTCTATGCCCATTCTATGGAGCCTAGAACATCTAAAGGCATTTTGCAAAAACCAACTCAGAAAAAAACTATTGTACTGAAAGGAACAAAGCCAAGGAACTGCAGAGAAAAGAAGTCATACTCACAGAGTTAAGCCAGCCCTGAACCCCTTCTTTTGTGAGTCAATTTAAAGCAGTGGTATTGAAGTGAATTTTGTTACTTCCTTCCCAAGATAAACTAACTGGTCAGTCTGTCATTTCAGGCTTGAAAAGTTGTCACACAAGGCCAGTCTTTCCAGGTAATTTCTTATTTTGTTCCCCCTCTGAAGCCTAATATGAGACTAGGGAGGGGAAGAGAAGTGAACACAAAGGAAAGATGGCAAATTAATCTATTAGTTGAAGTCTGGACTTAAATAGGTATCTACATATACATTTAGAAGGGGGTAAAGTTTTTTAATGTATTTAACAAGTATACATATGGCACTAACTGGGAATCTTGCAGTATGCAGATGTTTTATAATGTGAATTCATTTGATCTTATAACAAATTTATGAGGAATCCTTGTTACTATATCCCCATTGTCAGTTAAAGAAATTGAAGTACCTAGAGGTTAACTAATAGGCCTATGGTCACAGCTAGCAAGCAATAAGCCAAGATTCAAATTATTATGTTATATTAAGGCCAGAGAGAGAAGAAATCATCTAATGAGGATACTTTAGTACTATGTACTATATACTATAGGATATGGCATTTGCAAACCTAAGATTTGCATCAGAGAAGGTCAGTATTTCTCAAATATGAGAAGAAAAATAAAGAGAACTATTAGCTGAAACCGGTTTGGCTCAGTGGTAGAGCATCAGCCTGCGGAGTGAAAGGTCCCGGGTTTGATTCTGGTCAAGGGTATGTACATTGGTTGCAGGCACATCCCCAGTGGGGGGTGTGCAGGAGGCAACTGATTGATGTTCTTTCTCATCGATGTTTCTAGCTCTCTATCCCTCTCTCTTCCTCTCTGTAAAAAAAAAAAAAATCAATAATATATATATTTTTAAAAAGAGAACTATTAATCATTTATCTAAGACTAGTGTCCTGGTGCATTGATTTGTGCACATTGAAATGAAATTAATTAGAAGGTGGCCAGTGAGGTAAGACTGAGCAGGACTGGGCAGGACTGGATGAGATGGGCCAGACATGCCCTGGAGCCAACTTCCCACAGTCCCTCCTCTGCCAGACGCACTTGGGGCAGCACCCTGGCTCAAAGGGCATCTGCAGAGTAGGTGAGATCCCTCTGGCACATGGGGGGTCCCTTGTCCTGGCCTGCAAGTATTGGATCAAAACCAGCTCTCCAATATCCTCCAAGGAGTCCCGGATTGCAAGAGGGCAGTTCACCACAGCTCAGCAGCTCTTGTGTTGAGTGTCTGCTCCCAGGTAGTCAGTGTGTTTCATAGCTACCAGTCAGATAATCAGGTTGTTGGACAGTCACTTAGCTTTTTATATATATAGATAATTACTGTATGTCTATGTTCATGTAAAACCAACACGTGAGCAGATAGTAGCCCAAACTCAATAATCAAAAAGTATGGTGTATTACAGTAGAAAAGCCTATTTTTAAAAAAAATAAAAAAGTTTTCTTGTTAAAAATAGAGGTAGCCCTAGCCGGTTTGGATCCACAGAGCCTGAGGACAGAAGAGTCCTGGGTTCAATTCCAGTCAAGGCCTCGGTTGCTGGCTCCTCCTGGCCCAAGCCCTGGTAGGGGCACGTTCAGGTGGCAACCAATCAATGTGTTTCTCTCACATCAATGTTTCTATCTGTCTTTCCCTCCCTCTTCCATTTTCTCTGAAAATCAATGGGAAAATATTCTTGGGTGAAGATTAAAAAAAAAAAAAAAAAAAAGGTGTTTAGATCTATAGTAGAAAATCTGAATAATTTTAATCATCAACTAGGAAATGGTATCAGACACAATTTTCATTTTTGTCCAATACATTGGGTACAGTTAGGTATCAAGACTGCCTAATTGATACCTAAATTCCTACACTCATCACCTTTACTGACTTAGGTTACAGTTCCCAGAGAAGGTTGTCCTAACAAATATTCTCCAGGCTTGGAAGGAAAGGAAAAAAAGGAGGTAGACCTCTGAACTGAGGCTAAAGGAAGCCCTGTGTTCTCCTTGAGTAAATCCTCCTTTAAGGTAGACATAATAGAGAAGATGAGTAAGAAGGGACCTTTCTTCAACCTCTCATGACTGAAGTGCTTAATGATCCCTTTAAATATTTAAATGCTGCTATGTCTAAATACTAAAAGGACAGACATCATATTGAGTGTTCAGTAAGGTTAACAGCATAATTTAAACCGGTTTTGCTTGCTACAAGGAAATTGATCAGAAACAAATCATCAATAAAACTTCCCTGGGCAGTTTTTAAGCTGCCTTGGCTCTTTCAAATCAGTCCCTAAGCCCAGCTAAATTCTAAGAAGGCAATCAACCTTACTGTTAAATTATTTTTTTTGCTGTTGTAGTTAGCATCTTCACTTTATGTCAAATTTATGTTACCTTTCCTCTACGTTTTAAGTTTTCTCTCCATTTCTAGTGTCTGAAAACATGCCATTACATTTATACTCTCCATGGTATATCAAATAGAGCAGCTTAAACAAATAAGTCTGAATAAATTAATTCTAAACACCGCAGAATGGGAGTCCTAAACAGAGGTTGCAGTTGACCACCCTAACCTGCCTGGTGCACGCTGCCTGTGGAAGGTGAGTGTGTGGTTGGCTCCCCCTGCTCAGAGGCCTAAGTTCACTTTCCTCCGCTGGCTTCCTGAGTACAAGGACCTGAGGCACCATTCTTGGATTTCCTTTAGCAAGGAACGTCTTTTGTTTTCCCAGAGTCTTTCCCATTTTAAAAAATATATATATTTTATTGATTTTTTTTACAGAGAGGAACGGAAAGAGATAGAGAGCTAGAAACATAGATGAGAGAGAGACATCAATCAGCTGCCTCCTGCACACCCCCTACCGGGGATGTGCCCGCATCCAAGTTACATGCCCTTGACCAGAATCAAACCTGGGACCTTTCAGTCCACAGGCCAGAGCTCTATCCACTGAGCCAAACCGGTTTAGGCCTTTCCCATTTTTTAAAGTGCATCGCCAAGTGTTCCTTCCCTGACATAGAAGGGATATTAACTAAAATCAATAAAACTAGGTTTTAGTCTAGTCTCCTATTCTGCTTGCTGTGTAATCTTGGGTAAATTATTGAACTTCTTTCAGTATAACTTTGTTTCTTCAAGCTCAAGGTTGAACTGCAGGAAACATTAAAAACTGACACCTAACCCTAGCCAATTTGGCTCAATGGATAGAGCACTGGCCTGCAGACTGAAGGGCCCCAGGTTCAGTTCCAATCAAGGGCTCATACCTTGGTTGCATGCTCTATCCAACATGGCCCTGGTTGGGGTGCATGCAGGAGGTA